TCCGGAGAAGCTTCCTCAAGTCCCTTGGAAGAACTATATACTACTGAATAGTCTATAATCTGCAGTTATTAAAAGCAGAAGTGCTATATCCATTCCATTCTCCTTTTTGGATCACTCACTCCTCTGGCTGATGTAGGATCTAGGCTGTCCAGTCCAAAACTATTGGAGCTCTTGCAAGAAGTCCGTGTGCAGGGCTTTGGAAATTGTTTTGCACACATCACAGGCTTTTGCAGTGAACAGGTCAGACCTGCTTCCCTGGGCAGTTGGCTGGTCCCTGATCTCCTGCCTCAATGCTTGCCAGAGTTCGTGGTGGGTCTGATCCGCACTCTGGGTGCAGATCTGGTTTTTATCCTTGGTTCTCTAGGGAGAGTATAAGTGGTAGGGTATGAGCAGTGATGACCAGTGGTCTTTAGGGGGAGTTTGGGGGATCCTGGAGATACAGTTACAGAAGTACGGGGTGCTGACCAGGAGCAGACTTCCATTCTGGTTTCTTCATGTGGCACTTGTCACTGCCTCCTTCCACACTGAGTCTCCTTAGCAGGATGTGGGACTGTCCTGAGAGCACCACACTCATATGTAGTGGTGTGATAATCATATGCCCTTAACCCCAGCATCACACAGTCGAGGTTCAGCCACTTCCAAAATAGCCCCACCTCATTGGCATGATGTTTTTGGGGGCCATCTAAACACACGCCATAATATACACCCAACGCCTCAGGTAATTAACGTTGTGTTTCATGGGTTATCTTTCTCTGTAAGCAAGAATTTTCTCTTTGCCTTGATCTTTTTTTTTTTCCTTTTGTGATACCAGGGATTGAACTCTGAACCTTGTATTTGAGAGGCAGGTGTGGTGCCACTGAGCTACATCCCGGCTGCTTAATCTTTTGATATTACTGTGAACCCCTGAATTCTTATTTTAGTCAGTGGTTTATCATCAGTCCTCCTTATTGACTCTGATGTCTGTGATGTCCCATGTTTGGCCAGCTGAAGCTCCTAAAGCTGGCTTTGTGTCCCACAGACATGCCCTCTCTTTCTTGAACACCTTGCTCTCTGGGCAACAGAATGTTTTGGGATCATTCTGCACTCTGGCCAGTTTCAGCTCTGGAACCAGCTGTTTCCACCCAGAGACTGGTTTCTCTGAGCAGGGAATGGTATTTAGAAACTGGAAACTGGGACATAGGTGAGCTCACTGTTACTGGCGTGTCATTGCTGCCAAGATCTTTCAGCAAACCCAGCTCAGAAGTAGGTGTCTGTTTATACACAGCACATACACATGTGTCTGAGATCCCGCATGCCCTGCCCATGTGTCTGTTTGTATCCTAAAGGCAGGGTTCATGTAGTTTTTTCCAGTTCTAACCCCACTCCACCAACTCTATTCTGTCCTTCCTCTTCCCATATTAATAAGTCCTCTGACAGAACAGTGGCTCCCCCTATCTACGGCTACTTCCTCACTCAGTCCTAGAATATAATAAACACACTTGCGTCTCTGAAAAAGAAGCCTGCTGACGAGAGTTCAATATTTAACCAGAGTCTCTTTTCTTTATCTTGAAGCCTGTGGTGCAAGCAGCACCTTCCAGTCTTGGGTCATTCTTCCGTCCTCTCCCATTTCAGTGTGCTTATAGTTTGTTATTCCTGCAAAACATGGAGAATTCATTTGTTTCTGCTTGATCTACTTCCGGTCACCTCACCCCCATACTTGTTGATTTACTTTCTTACAGCATATCAATTTTGGGTTAGGTGTGTTTCTTTCATTTCATCAAAAGGACTGGGAACAGCATAGAGCTGAGGGTATCCATTTCTGTGAAGAAGAAGTCCCGGGGAGGCTGTGGACTGAAAGTGTGACTTTTCTCACTGAAGTGGCACTCTGGGGGCCCCTGCAACCCCACCCCCAGTTCTGCGGCATTCACAGAGCATCTTACTTTCAGGCCATTTTTCTGGGTTTGGTTTGAACCCATTGACTCCACCACGCGGATGGTACATTTATTCCCATCTTTAGATGAGTACAAGGGTCCAAATGGGTAGGTGATTCCCTCTTATTCGGGGTTGGACTCAGCTGTACCACCCTGAGCCTGAGGTTTCTTCCCCAGCATGCTGTTTTGTTGTTTGCTGGAAGCGTGAGTTAAGAGTGACTTGGTTAATGTTATTCTCAAGGACTTTTAGGTGAACAGTCTGGAAATGTTCTAGTCCCTGCTACAAAGAAAATGCAGCATTTCTTCGTTTATAGGTAAACATCTTGTATAATGTTTAACACTGACCTTTCAAGGTATTTAACTGTACTCTGAATTAAGTGATATTGATGTTTTTTGGAGCTCACAATCTATTAGGGGAGGGAGGGGCTAGACAAACATAGCATTAAATACACGCTTATACATTGTAGTCACACTACCGAGGCAGAGGCTAAGAGTCTTGGAAACTTAATTTATGTTGATGGGGGTTTAAGAAAGTCTGGCTGAGAAGGCCAGGCTGGAGCTGACTTGAAGAATGAGGTTCCTGAATTAATAAACAAGTTTGATAACCCGAGAGCAGGTGCTTGCTCTCCTTCCCATCCTGTGAAATGTAAGCCTGCACCCAGAACATGCTGCCTTGTGGGTGGCAGGAGTTCTCTTCTGACCTTTATCGCCCCCTAGGGGCAGCGTGAGAGGGCCGGACAGAACTGGACTTGCTACAGGTGGCTTGAGAGGTACCACCAGGGCTGCAGAGGGGCCTGGCCTGCCCTTGCATGGGATGTCAGGAGTGGCTGGAGGACCAGGACTCCAGGCCTGCAGCACACAAGACCTAGGGCCCCGGTGGCTTGTTCAGGTCCCTACTGTGCTGTGGGAGGGGCGTCACTGGTGGCTGCACTCCCTGTATCACTGTGGGGAGGAGGGGTTAGCTGAGGCTCTGAGGTTTCCTCTGGTATAAACACAGGTGATGCTGCCCAGCGTGGTGATGCCTGTGCAACCCCAGGAGGGCCTGACCAGGCAGTCTGAGACTGGCCAGGAGGCTGGACTTGGCCACTTCTCTGTCCTGTCCAGTGGCCAGAGTCTGCACTGTTACTCTACAGATAATAATACAGCAGTCATGGAAAACCACTCTGCTGAGCAAAATGGAGTTACTGGTTTATGTTGCTGGAGGGAGTGTCTGTGTCCTTCTCTTTGCTACTTGTGCCCAGCATACAGCATGGATGTTTTGGACTCCCGTTAAGCATCAAATGATGATGCCACGGAGCTTCTAAGTGAACTCTAGAGCTCAAGGATTTGGAGAATAGATGACAGACTTATTTCTTATTACAGTTACCAAGAAAAAGGGGTCAGGTCAGTTTGGCTGTTTGGGGACAGGTGGGTAGTAGGGTTTGGAGAATTCTTCTCTTCCCCACTTGCTTTTTTTCCTTAAACTTAAAGCTCTCTTCTGGAAACTGAAAAGACCTCGGTGTGTGTAAATATTAAAGGGCAGTTCTTTCTCCTGGAATTAATTTTGAAATTCAGAGCGCTTAATAACTGAGACCATTCTCAGCCTTTTATTATAAGTAAAGCAGGCATTTAAAATACGAAGTTGAATTTGCATGTTTCACACATCTGCCTGCAGCTCCTGCCCAGGCTGTTATTTTCTCTCTAGCGGTGATGACCTCAGGAGCCCTGAGCACACTGCCAACTTTGACACCCGTGACAGTAATAAATGAAGATGATCCTCTGTCATCTGCCTCTCCCAAAATAGTGTAAACAGGGATGCTAGCCGGCGGGTTCTGAGTTGCTAATTCTTTGTCCCGATTTTCCTAACTTTAGTCCCAAAGATTTTGTGCTGGTGGAGACTCTGTCTTGGCCACTGAAGGTCCTGGAGGAACCTGCTTGCCACTTCCCCGAGCCTGGGTGACAGGGGTGCTTGGTGTTCATGAAATAACAGAATGCTGGGTTTGTGCTGAGCCCACACTGTCATGTACTGTAAGTGGAAAGTGACACTGAATTTTTCTCTTACTATTTTGGATATGCTGGGTTAAATGAAGCATATTGTTAAAATGTATTCTTTTTTAAAAAATTTTTGGTGTGGCTAGCAGAAAATTTTAAATTCTGTCTGTGCCCTCCTCCTCATTCTGTTAGCACCAGTCCAGAGAAAGCTTTGAGACTTCCTCTCATGCCAGCCTGAGTGGGAGTGGCTCTTCCCGCTGCCCTGAGGCAGGGCCATCTCCAGGGCAGTGCCTGGCCCACCACAGAAGGAGAACTTGTCCAGCAGACTCACCTTCCCTTGTAGGTGGTGGTGCGAAAGCCTGCTTGACCTGGTCCGTTGACCCTTTTGAGGTAGGAGATGCTGGTCCCCTGTGCTTCTCTCCCGTGGCTTCTACCTGAGTACCTGGGACAGGAGCTTCTCATACATCCGTTGGACGCAAACAGTTGCCCACGTAGAAGAAGGGGCTGAGTGGAATCAGCATTTCTAATGACTTTGTGTTGTTCTGGTTGGATCTGTCCCCCAGGAGGTGCCAGGTTCATGGGCAAGAGGGGGCAGGCAGTGGTTCTGAGCCAGGCATGGTGTTGGTGCCTCACTAGAGTAGACATCTTCATGTTTCCCCCCTTTCTTTATCAGCACCTATTAATTTTACAAGGTACCACATTTCACTGTGTATAATATATTCTTATCATATCCTTTCCCCAAATACCCTCCCCACACCTGCCTCCCTTATTCCCTTTTTCTTATCATAGTCCCCCTTCTACTTCTGTGTCATTTTTGTTTTTAGATTCCACATTTTAGGGAGAACATGTGATATTTATCTTTGAGTCAGGCTTCCTTCGTTCAACTTGATATTCTCCAGCGTCATCCATTTTCCTGCAAATGACAGCATGTAATTCTTTGCAGCTGAATAGTACTCCACTTTGCACATGTACCGCGTTTTCTTTATGTATTCACCTGTTGGTGGCACCTAACCCCCTTCGTCTTGGGCACACCGGAAAGAGAGCGAGGAGGTGGTGGCTGGACCGGAAGGGGAGGTGTGGCCGGGAGAGAGAGCCACCCCCCTCCTCCCGTGTCCCCCATTCCTCCAGTGGCATCTGCTTCCGTTGCATCTCCAGTTTCTCTGATGGTGGAGGGTGCAGTGGGTAGAACTTGGGTGGAACTTGAGACCCAAAACGGAGTGAGAGGAAGCCAGAGGAGACTTAGGGAACCTGAAGGAGTCCTTCCAGCATGGGGGCCACGCTTTCCTTCTGCCACTTGAGTCCCAGCGCCCCTCCCAGGGCTCCTGACAACCCCTCCAAGCCCCTGCCATCTTTTTTTTCCTTCCCTTTGTTTCCTGACCTTCCTTCTCGATCTTCCTCTGCTCAGGTCGGTGAGATTCACAGCTGATTTCTACTTGCTGTCATTATTAATGCTGCATTGTTTCTTTTGTCTGCATCCTTCGTGTTTTGTTTCCCTAAGGAAACCTTGTGTGTTACACGCGTGTAACTGTGTGTCTCTGTGTATGTGTGTGAGATAAGCGGATGTGTGTGTTTCATAAGAGGTCAGCAGAAGCAGCTAGGGGAGGACCCAGTAGCTTTAGTTCCCAGTGGGCTTTCCGCCTTGAGACGCTCCCCATGCTCTTCAGCACTGGCCCCTTATCTAGCCGTCTGTGAAGCCCCACCGCCCCCACCCCATGCTGACTCCTCCAGGACGATGCTGCCATCCTTTCGGGGTCAGTGGGGCAGCTGTGAACGTCTCTGAGCTGAGCTCCTGCAGAGTCGGAAAGGGGAAGGTGGCTGCTGTTACACGGGTGCCTGGTGCTGATGCTGGCCGAGGACAGCGCCTCACTTAAGATGAGAGCTGGTGACACAGGCCAGGGCTCGATATGCAGAGTGCCACCATTGCTCGCAGCCGCGGGCATTGCAGTCCCCCTTTGGATTGACTGTGAAGGGTCTTGATTGTTTGGCTTTTGACTCAAAATTGGTTGCAGAGACCTGGCCGAAGCAGAGGCCTTGCACACATACGGAATGGGCTCCTGGGACCACCTCAGTGGTCTGCAGGTTGGAGCCACAGTGTGGGCTCGGTAGGGGTCTGCAAGTTCTCAGCACAGCCACATGTCTGCCTGGGTGGGGGATGAAATTCCTGTCTTTAGGAGATTATTTGTGGTGCTTTCCTGTGGTGGGCCAGTATTTTTCAGCAACGAGTACCATGCTAAACATGAACATACTTCATCGCCCAGGGCCCTCACTTTGAGAGTGCTTAAAAATAACCTAAAACAATTTTATGCCAAGTTTCAACCTGGAAGAAATGTGTACGTATAAAATTATAATGCAACTGTTGGCCCAGCTTTAATTATAGTGGATACTGAGCATCTCTCATTTTATTTTGTTAATCTGGCTTCAGCAAAGAAACACCCATGGGATTTCTCCCTTGCGTTTAATAAACATGTTAACTTTGTGAGCTATGGAAGTGGTGTATTCATCAGCACTTTATGAGATGTGTGCTAATAATTCCACAAATTAGGGGTGTGCATTTTATTTCATCTTCAGCCCACTGAGCCGGGAGGGCACCTTGGAGATTGCTTATGGGCCAAGGAAGTCGGTCCATCCCTGTCCCCCTGGGCTGGAGGAAGGGGTACTGGTGGGTCTGTCCCCATCTTGCTTTAACGCTGGTGAGTGGCTCTGTCTCTGCACATTAGCTCCTGGGTAGTTGCCAGGCCAAGTTTGACCTTCAAGCCTTCCGAGGAGACTTTTAGTCTGGACTGCTCAGAACAAGGCCTGAAGAGATTTAGAGGCACGGAGGGGTGAAAGCTGGGAGGCCCAGGCTTCTGTGTTGATGGTGCCCTCCCAACACCGAGGAGTTGGGCTCTGAGCTAGGCACGCTGCGTTCATCAGGTCTGCAGCCCTCCCCACACCTGTGCAAAGGAAGGAACGGGAGGGCAGAGGCGCTAAGTACGTGTGGTCTGGGTCACACAGCGGCCAGGACCAGAGCTGGGTTCAGACCTTGTTGCTTTAAAGAAGAGATTAATTTGTAAATCAGAATATACTTTTCCTCTGTCTTTTCCTGTGATATTTGCTATTTATATTTTTAGGTTGATGTATACAATGTGTGATAAAAATACAGCATGTATATGTATGTATATACTTAAATGAAGGAAAATTATTACAGTAAAGGACACATTACTATGAATGCTCCTCAGATACTCCCCTCTGCCTCAAGCACACTATCCCACGATTCCTGCTACTTTCTGAAGGAGTTCTGGGAGGCCTCTTTCCTGAGGGCCTTTAGGAGGTGTGACAGAAAGATACACTGAACGCTGGCGGTGTGTATGCCCTGGCCTGGAAAGGCAGGCTCCTGGAAAATGATGCTGCATCCCCGTCCACCTTACTCACAGCTCTGGTGCTGGCTGACTTCTGTCTTTTTTTCCACAGTCAAGCCGACCATGAACAGTCCACATTTTGAGTTAAGTCAGAACCTCCAAGCAACCATGACTGCAGCCAAAGACAGGAAAGCAGGCTTCCAGGGCTGCTTCAGAAAGTGGCAGGAACAATAGGACAAGTGTGTTTGAAGACACACTTTTTTTTTTCCGGTACCAGGGATCAAACTCAGGACCTTGTGCTCTTGAGGCAGGCACAGTGCCACAGAGCTAAATCCCCAGCCCAACAGGACGTGTTTTGAGGGGGATTAATGACAACATGTTCTTTTCCCATAATGAATTAACACAATTGTGCAGACATCATGGTATTTGGATGAGGACCTGGGAGTCTGGCCCCAGCCCACAGCCACTCTAACCTGTGCTACCTCAGGCAGAGGGAGTAGCCGAGCAGCCCACCCTGCCCCAAGTTGCTTCTGCGGCACAGAATGTGGTGGGAAAGCCGCCCACGCTTTAAGCACTGCTTTTAGGCGGTCAAGAATGGGCCAGGCAGCGGTTGACTGTGATGAGCTCAGCTGTGTCAGAGTTGAGCCTTTGCATCTGCTGGGGTTGGCCTGGTGCTCCCGGGTTGCTGGCTCAAATCTTCCTGCTCTGGAGAGCAACAGTGTCAAGTGGTGGTGACTGGTTGTGTTCCTGTAGCATGCCCACCTGCTGTGTAACCTTGTAATCCCCTGCCAGGCCCAGTTTACTCACCTTAACATGAGGGCAGCAGCCCCTCCTTCCTGGGCTAATGTGGAGGTTAAGCAGGGCGATGGGCAAAGCACAGGCATCTGGCAGAGCTAGGAATTAATTAGTAAACGATAGCCTTGTTTTTATTGTAGCTGCTCAGTTGTAATGCCAGAATCAGCCACCAGAGGGCACTGTAAGCACGTGTATGGTGCCTGCCAGCAGCTGCGCCTAATGTTTTGCTAAAAAGCTGTTTGCCTTGAAATTACAGAAGCCCTGTTGCCTGGTTCTGGACCTGTTGCCAAACTGTACGTTGGCATGCTTTGTAAGTGTGTGGCTCGGTGAGTTGTATCACCCACATTTGGCACTCTGTTGTTTTCCAGCTTATTAGTTTCCAAATCAAATTGCCACAGCAAACTTTCTTTCTAGTACTGCATGGCCACTCTTCGTAGTTACAGCTACCCGCTAGCATGACACTAGCTTGGTTTGGGGTACTGATGCTGGCCTTCCACACAGTGACTGCTGTAAGTGTTTCTGGAAGTAGCAAATGATCTTCCAGCTCAGGGTGGGCGTGTGGCCAAATGTGGCTGGCAGTGAATTTGGAAGGTCTGGGTTTCATTGTATCTTGATTATTTATCTGGGTTAGGACACTTTGGCAGCTTACTGACTTCTCTGAGCCCCAGGTTTATTTTCTGTAAATGGGGATTGTGATGGTGGTGCTGGTGCTGGTGCTGGTGCTGGTGGTGGATTAACTAATGGTGAACTTGTAACGCCCAGCTGAACTGAATCAGTGTTGTCGGGGCGTGGAGGAGCCTCCTGAAGACTGTTGCCAATAGCCATGAAAAGAGAACAGGAGGGGAAGATCTGGAGCTGATGATTTTATAGGGAAGCTCTCTGCGGCTGGTTTTCCTGATGGGAACGTGTCTGTTCTCATCGGAGGAGGAGCTCGGGACCTTGCTGTCACTGGGAATGGCTGCTGTTCGTTCCTCTCATCTGGGGAGCGCTGGTCTTCACTGTGAGCATCACTTCCTGGCTCCAGTGTGGATCCCTCATCCTTCATGCCATTGGCACAGGTTTTTTGGCTTTCTCCACTGGCCGTTAGGCCTTCCAGGTACAAATCCCCAATACGGACAAGCATGAGACATTGCCGTGGGCTCCAGGCCTCTGGCTGGACTTGTTGAGGACACTGTCTTGGACTCTAAGCCTCTAGGTTAACTTGTGGGGGGCATTGCTGCAGGATCCAGGCCCTCAGCTGGATTCTTTGGGCCTCTAGTGTGTGGCTAATCTCTTGTACTCCTCTGTATTTGACCTTTTAGGTAAATATCATAAAATAATCCTATAAATTATGTCCTTTATCAAATGTATTCCCTTGCCAAAACCCTGACTACAACAGCGGTGATGATGATGGTGGTGATGGTGGTGATGGTGGTGATGATAGCAGTGGCACCTTTTATTTGGCTACTTTACAGGACAATAGGGAGGATCAAGTGCGGTCACAAATAGCTCTGTGTGAATATTATTCACCACAGGGAGCAGTGTAAAATATTATTCTGCAGCGTGGCTGGCCTAGGAGGTTGGAGGTGCCACTGTGGGCCGACTTTTCCTGTGGCAGACTTGTGTGAACTCTCCTAGGACGTCCATCTCTGGGGGCTTCCGGGCCCTTCCCTGCCTGGACCCCCAGCCCGAATAGGTCCTCAGGCCCGGGAGCCTGCTACTTTGAGGATAGGCTGCCCGAGCCCACTACACCTGGAGGCTGCTGCTTCTAGTGCATAGAACTTCTGTGTCAGGACTCTGCCATCACGTCTTAAGTCTCAGTCGATCTTGCTTCTGGTTAAGCCAGTTTCCCCTCATCCTCTCTGTGTCATTTCATCCGCAGAACATGTATTATGTGAGAAAGGCAGGGAGAGGCACAGGACATATCCATGCCCACCTTCTCCTGCCCAGGGAAGTATCATCAACCTCAGAAGCCATGTTGAGAACTCGGTGGCTGGTCCTGTGACCAGAGCTGGTCATAGTCATATTCTGTTTCTCAGTCTATAGATCAAAAGTGTGGCAACTTGTCGGAGACCAAAGCTGTTAGAGGATCGGCAAGTCTTCCTCTCATAAGAGAAATACCTGATTATTTTATCACTTAGTATCCTTTTTTTTTTAAAGATTAGCTCAAATGGTTCTTACATTGTAATTTTTTCTTGGATCGAACATGTGATCCCCATTGAGGAAGAAGTGAGAGACTCAGAGGAAGTCCCTAAACTAGCAAACAGTTCACCCGTAATCCATCTGCCCAGGT